TCACTCTCCCTTTCTCTCTCTCCTCTCCCTTCCTCCTTCGCCCCCTCCCCCCGACATATAAATCTTTCCCTAGCTACCCTGACTCTTCTCATTCATGAGGTGATACAGGTGAAACCTCTCTAGCATTCTCCTCCTAAGGCAGAGCTCCTGAACTAACATTTACAGAAAATTTCACCTAAACCCTAAAGAACATGTATTCTCAACAGCTCATGGGACTTTCTCCAAAAGCGACCACATATTAGCACACGAAGCAAGTCTCAAAAACTATTTTTAAAAATTGATCTTTTTAAAAACAGGTATTTTTAAAAATTAAAAATTTAAAATGATATTTTTAAAACTTTAAAAGGTATTTTAAAAATTGAAATAACACCCAATATTTTATCTGATCACCACAGATTTATGCTATATTAACAATAGAATCAGGAGAAAGTATTGAATTGAATTTTACTGCTTCTGCACATATATGTCAGGACGGAAATTAATTCAGTGAAAATTAGTGAATATCAGGTTCATGGCTGCTAGAGTAGAAGCCTGTGAATAATGGAGGTGACAGGGAAAGCAGAAATGGATCATGTGACATTGGGTTAGTTAGATTTGCCAACATCTTTGGGTTACTTTATGTGAGTATAGATACATAATTTCCAAGTTTGTTCCAATGTTATTACATATGCACAAACATTCCTCATTTCTCTCTACAGACAAACTAGAAAGTATGACATCTCAATACTAATGAGAATGCTTGGCACCCAGATCTCATGATGTCCTACAGTAAAAGAATTTTGAAACTTCAGAATAAGGACTAAACCCAGGGCAGGAAAAATACATGGTGAGTCTGAGTTATTTTCTTTAACTGTTTTATAAAGGACAATGGAAATAGTAAGAAACTATGATTTATAATATATTTTGTCTTCAAAATAACATTTACTAATCAGAGAAATAGGATAATAGCATGAGAGGAACAGAAACCTAAAGCGACTAAAAGTTTTTGGTTGAGCTGGCCAAGAGAATGTCAGCCCTTCAAATAGACCTTACTTCTTCTATTCAATGGGAGATGTACATTCTTTCAAATCAGGAGACAATTTACAAATGATGGTGACCTACTGTCACTGTCAGTTACAGGGTGGTCATTCTCACTTGACTATGTCTCCATATGCTCATTCCCAGCTGCTATATTGTCAGGATTTCAAGTGAACTGAATATATATTGTTGGCATTATACATATTGTTTGATTTTAACTACTGCTGAGTAGCTTTTTCTAAGAAAAGCAAAAGCCAGGTGTGGCAGTAAATGTCTGTAGTTCTAGCACTTGGAGGATAGAGCTAAGAGTGAAAAGAGTATATGCTCAGCCTAAACTACATGGAGAATTAGAGAGCAGCCTGTGTGGTAGGAAACACTCTTACTCAGCAAAGTAAATCAAAAGTTTAAAGATATATACAAGGGCCATAGTAACCCATCTTCAAACTTGCAAAAGTTTCTGGTAGTGACATGGGAATTATTGAGCAAACAAATTTAAAAAAAAAAAGGTGAACAATAGTGTTGAATTATAATCCCAGAATATAAAGTAAACTTCTTTGAGGTAGGGAAAGAATAAGAGAGTAAAGGAATGAATGTGATCAGAATGTGTGATATGCACGTATGAAATTATCAGGGAAAAATACTTGAAAGACCATTTTAAAAATTCTTTAGCATATATGAATATGAGTAAATGCTTAAATTTGGATTCTTCAGTTTTCCCCTAATGCCCTTTTCTGTTTCAGGATCCCATCTAGAAAACACATTTTACTTAGTTATCCATTGTGTCCCCTTAGGCTCCTCTGGAATATGACAGACAACAAGATCCTCGATGGTCTTACTGCCTTTGTGGATAGATTCTAATGTGCTGAATGCCCTTCATTTGGGTTTTCTCTTTATTTTTTTTTCATGGCTAGATTAGAGTTTGAAAGACTATACAGATAAAGTGCCATTCTTGCTGTATCTTGTCAAGGGCATAGGCAATAATCACTCTCATATCTTTGACAGTGACCATGCTCACCAGAGGGGCACCAACTAGCTCCTGCCACTCTGTTGTACAGATGTCATTTCTACCCACTTCCTCACTCTGCTCTTCGGAAACCAGTTTCTAAACACTGCTCATCCAAAAGTCAAATGGAGTTTTAGCTCTGCTTCTCAAGGCTGGATGCATCTCCACATGTCAGTCCAAGAGGAATGTTTCACTGAAATCCCTGTCATGTGAGACAGGCTTTCCTGACCAACTTGGAAGTTTGGAATACACTAAGTAAAAAGAGTGCTGACTGTGATTGCTCTACATAATTTCTTCCAGCCATTTTTGTACTAATGCACATTATCAGTTTCCAATTTGGTGTATTAATAAAGAACGTTACAATCTATTTCTAGCCACAGAACCTCCTCCTTTTGTTCGTTTGGTCCTATTGTGATCTAAAATGTTCCTCAAACCTCATAATTAAGTGGGAGGCTTGTTTTAAAATACCAACTCTCACTAGGCTTAAATTCGTACTTAAGTGAGAGAATCTAGAAGTTGGAATTAGAAAAAATCAACCTTCCTAAGCAATGTGGAGGTGTTTGACTCCTAGGATGCAGGAATTGAGAGTAAATAGCATTTTGCTTCCAGAGTCCAAAGACTGTGAGGTTTATATGTCTTCACTGTTCATGTTCATTCCATCAATTCATCTAAAAATACCAGTGAACTCTTGTCATTGAGGATTCAGAAGTGAGGGCAATACACTGATGTCGGTTCTGGATTGCTCGTGTTCATTAAGAAATACTTTAAATCTTTAAATTCTCTCTCTCTCTCTCTCTCTCTCTCTCTCTCTCTCTCTCTCTCTCT